GTTAAGGTCCACTGAGAAAGGACTTTCCTCTACCACCCTCAGATCTTGTGGCGAGGCATGGCAACTCATCCGCCTCCCCCTGGTACTCAGGAAACTGTTGTTGAGGGTCTTATTTCAGCACTTTGGGCCCAATGGTCTGCTCTTGCCTCCCTGTCCAATACTGACCAAGTCCAACTCTTGCTGGAAAACTACAAATCCCATGAGTCTCAGAAGCAAATCCGGCCAGGGATAGAGCGGTAGGGGGTGCAGCTTTGTGGTCAGTGGGGACGCTAGGGCTCTCACCGACAGAAAGGCATGGACAATGTCCGCTTTGATGCTGCTGAGAGGTTTGTCCTTTAGCACGAGGAATATTTGTTCTTCTTTGTCCAAGGAGATGAAGTTCCCGAACCAGGAGCGTTTTGCCAGCCTGCGTGGAAGGGGATAGAAACAGTAGGGTCACGAAGACGCTAAAAGACGGACCCCCTCAGTTCCCACTCAGCTTCCTTCCCTTGTTGAACTCACTCGGGAGAGGATTCTGGTGTCAAACTGGACATCTCCTCAGCGGTGGGGACTGGTCAGGGAGGGGAGAGAAAGTAGTCAATATTTATTATTTATCATCCAGGGCCGTGTAGGTGCAAGTCACCTCTCAAGTGGCTAATCCTAACCAGGTAGTCTGATCTGGCCCCTTCAGGAAAGGCAGTGGTTAGGCCATACCCCTCAGGGTGAGGCTCAAGCCCCAGAGTACACGGACCAGAGTACATCATACAGGACCTGTTCCCATCGCCGCTTTCCGGAAACCCACCTCTTCTCTCCACACGTTATCATCTCAATTTGTCTTGGGACTTGGAAAGATGGCTCTCTTTCCTACCCGAAGACCCCCATGGAGATTGCCCGAAGGACAAGACATTTAGCCCTCTCCTTCCCACATTAGAACTCAGCAGCTGGCAACTCCAGCCTTGCATCTGCCGAGACCCCTACCCTGCATCTTGCGCCGGTGGAAGCGAGGGGAGCCCAGGAAACTGTTGCGGATGGAGTTGAGCCGACTTCTCCAGGCGGCTCCCCCGACGCCACCGCCTGGACTGGGCGGTGGTGTCGTTCCTGGGGTCCCAGTAGGGCTGGCTCGAGGCGTGTGCAGAGGTGAGTGCAAGGGGGTTCCGCCGGAGGAGCGCGGGGAGCCTGGTGGTCCGGGCAAGGGTGTGGAACGGGCACTGGGGGGCGGTGGCTGCTCCCCAGCGCCCCCGCCTCTGGGGCCCCGAGAAGGCAGCGTCTGTGTTTTGGAAGTCGGAGAGCCTCCGCCTCTAGCCTCATCTCCAGCTCCTGGCTCCGGTGAGAAGGAAAAGACCGGACTCTGTGGAGGAGTGGAACCTGGTATGAGTTCGGACTACAACTTCCAGAACGCTTTGAAAGCACTGCTTGCTTAGACTCTCTGGGGAGGTCCGCGAGGCATGCTGGGAATTGTAGTCCAGTCAGCCCCACCCACGCTCAGGATTTGAGGCACTGGCTCTGTATCCCAGCCCAGGCGAAGCAGAGACTGACATACTGAACGTGCTCAAAGAACTTATGGTAAATGATTAAACCTTTCGGATAAACTACAAATCCAGTCCTAAGAAGGCAGAAATGGGGTCTTTGACACTTCTGGGGTAAAGGATGCCTCATGGAACTGTGTTTCCTGTTCAGTCTTTTTGACTATTCTGTATCTGTCTCAATTCTCTGAGGGTCTCGACTTACCCTTGGGCTGCTCAGAGGGCTGGAGGACAGACCAGTGGAGGCTCCACTGACGCTGCGGGATCTGTTTACAGAATTTTTTAAAAAATTGCGTTTCAAAAGGTTCAGATGTTCCTTCATTTCCATGTCCTCCCAGGGAACGAGGACCAGGCAGGGCAGTGGTTTGTCCCAGGTACACGGGAGACTTGAGGTTGCGCAGGGTCTAGAATGCTCTGCTCCCTCTATATTCTGGGGCTGAAGACCCTTCCGGAGGCGACAACAGGCTCTCACCTCTGACTGTGCTGGGCCATCTCTAAGGCCCGTCTGGTAGGCACCGGGGAGCCACCACTGCCAGCATCTGTGATGCTCAGAACTTCCATGGACTTCCGCTCTGGCCTCCGCTTCCCGTGTCGGCTCAGCATGGGAGAATCCACACGCTTCCGAGGTGGGTCTGCAAGGAGAGAGCATCGACCTCCTCAGTGGGCAAACCGAGGCCCGGAGCAGAGAGAGGTTCTCATAAATGTCTAGCTGTCTAAACGTAGACTCCCAAGGCCTGCGGCATCCTCCTCCCTCAGGAATCCTAGGATCCCGATCGCCCAATCTGCCGTCTCACCGACATCATTCCGAGGAGGCAGGTCCTGGTCTTCACAGCTGGGATACCGCTCTTTCCGATCCAAAAGCAAATAATAGATCATCTTTTCCTGGTTTTCCCTGAGACAAGGAAGAGGGAGGCAGGGAGGACTGAGGTCAGAAATCAGCGCCCAGGGCCGGAGAGGTGGATGAAGGTCCTTGCCACGAAAGGCTGATAGCCGGAGATGGATCCCTGGGACCCACATGGTGGAAGGAAAGAACCGAACTCCTGCCAAGTTATCCTCTGATCTTCAATCGAATGTGCCTTGGCACACACGCGCCCCACCCCCCCGTAAATAAATGTAATAATGAAAAAAAGTATGTAAATAAATGTAATAAAAAATGTATGTAAAATAAGGAAATTTGTGTCTGAACGAGACCTCGCTCCCTCCCATCTGCTGTGGTTCCTTGCAGTCAGGGGCACCTAGTGGACCTGTCCCCAGACCCAAGGGTTCAAGTCCAGACCCCACCCCTCCGATCACAGGTGTTCAGGCCCAAGCCGCAGACCTCCTCTCTCAGACCCAGGTGTTCTGGTCCTGTTTCTCTTCTCTCACCCAGAATGCCATTTCCCTACATCTCAGCATGGTTGCCTTCCTAGGGGCCAATGCACATCACAACTTAATTTTACCCAGCAGTAGCTAACGCTGGAACACTCACGAAGTACATCCTAAGTTCTACTTGACACAGACCTCATCCGACATGCCTGCTCGGCGGCGCATTTCTCTCCAGGTCACAATTGCTCCCCGCGCACACCAGCTCTAAGCCATGCCTGGTTCCCTAAGCCTGGATGTGGCACGCCCCCTGCAGGCAGTCTTGGGAACTGCCACAACCCATTCAACCTGTGAAGTGGGGGGTGTCTGGGTGAGGATCTTGGGGGCGCTCTTACTCCTCGCTTCGCAGTTCTCGATGCAGCCGCTCGCGGTCTCTGAAGCAGCCCAGAGATGCCATGCTCTCCAGAACGTCAGGGTCCAGCTCTCCATTGGAAGGCAGGCTCCGCATGGCTACCCTGCGGCCCGGGGCTGGCTCCAGGCAAGGGTCTGGTTCGTGTTTCCCGCCCCTGGAAAGGTGCAGAAACACTTTGGAGAAAAGCAGCATCCGTAAGAGAGCCTTCATCATCCTAGGCTTAGGTCCCAGGCCCAGACTACTCCTCCCAGGACCCGGAGAGTCGGGGTCCCCAGCCTGACTTCCTGAGACCCAGGCAATCGGGATTTAGCTCTCCTCCTGCAGACGGGAGTCCAGACCCTCGTTCTCTCTCTGACTCAAGATGGACCCCCTGGCTCCCTCCTCCCTCTGGTCTGACACACTTTCTTCAGCTCTGTCCTCTTCTGCCCCGGACTTATAAGTTTGAGACTAATTCCTCCCATCCTGCCCCACCCAACATGGCATCCCGCCCTCCACCTCTGCTCTGGCCCCGAGGCCCTACCTCCCTCGGGTACCCAACGGTTCAATTCCCTCTTACTCACAGGTACCAGGGATGTTTCTGAATTTGCTCCAGCTGTAAAGGGGTGGGTTACAGAGGAGCAGAAATTAGGTCATATACACACAGAGGGTGAGCAATTAAATAAAATCAATTAGACTTGATTCTGGGAGGTCCCTCCCCAACCAGAGGCAGGATGACATATCATGTCTCCCTCTGGTGGTCGTAAAGCATATCGTTACGTGCACCTACAGACGACCATTTTTAGACTCTGGGTGGCAGTTTTCTGCGTGCACAGTGCCAGCCTTTTCAACCCCTGCCCATCGGCACATGTGCCATCCCCAAGGCCTGGGACTCTCCGATCCAACCTTGGACTGCTTCCTCTCTAGTCTGTAAGTTTTAGGTTTGCTGGACCTTGGGCTGTAGGGTAACCGGCGAACGCCTCCATCCAAGGATTGACAGGCAGGCTCTAGGAACTGTTCCGTCCCATGACTCCCCTGGGAATTCTGGCATCTCACCCACCCACCGTTCCTCTTCTGCCAGTCCCCACCAACTTACACTGAGCCTCTTTTCCGGCTCCACTTCGATCATACCCCTCAGGAGGCTCTGGCAGTCCGGAGGAATGAAGTGCGGCATGTGGAAGACACCGCGTTTCACCTTCTCCAGCAGCTGGCGCAGGTTGTCATCATCGAAGGGCAGCGCCCCCTGTGCAAGACATGACCAAGACCCTTAGGTCAGTGGCTCTCAACCTACGGGTCGCAAACCCTTTGGGGAGGGTCGGACGATTCTCTCACAGGGGTCGCCTAAGACCATCTGAAAACACAGATATTTACATTATGACTCACGACGGTAGCAAAATGACAGTTATGAAGGAGCAGCGAAATAATCTGATGGTTGGGGTCACCACAGCCTGAGGAACTGCATTAAAGGGTCGCAGCGTTAGGAAGGTTGAGGACCGCTGCGTTAGGTGGATTAGCCAGGGGAGGTTCCGAGTGCTGCTGATGCACCCACACACCTCACCCTCACCATGGGCACGAGACGGGGTAGGACAATCTTCATAGCCTCACCTACAAGGCTGGAGATGTAGCCCAGCTGGCGGAGTGCTTGCCTAACATTCATGAAGCCCTGGGTTCGATCCCCAACACCAGGGTAGTGGCACATGCCTACAATCCCAGAACTTGGGAGGTAGTGGCTGGAGGGTCAGAAGTTTAAGGTCATCTTCAGTTACATAGTGAGTTCAGGGCCAGCTTGGGTGACATAACACCCTGCCACAAACAGAAACCACATTAAAAAAACAAAACAAAACAAAACAAACAAAAATCACAGAAACAAAACAAAATAATTCTCCCTTAAAAAAATTACTTTTACTTAGGTGCATGTGTGTGCGCTACATGTATACAAACAAGTGCTTTTGGAAGCCAGATCCCTTGGAGCTGAAGTTACAGACCGTTGTGAACTGGCGGATGTGGGTATAGGGAATTGAACTCAGGTCCTCTTGGAGGAGCAGTAAGTGCTCTTAGCCACTGAGCCATCTCTCCAGCCCATACTCCTCACTTTTGATGGGGAAATGAAGACACAAGGAACTCAGCAGTTTGGCAAAGGGCTGCCCAGTGTGTAATATGTAGTAGAGGCTTGCAAGGGGGAAGCGTGTCTCTAAAAACACAAACAAAACCCACCACTGCAAGTCTGCGGCCAGCATGGTCTACTAAATGAATTCTAGGCTAGCCAGGGCTGCATAGTGAGACCCTGACTCAAATAAACAAACAAACAAAACAACCAAAGACAGGTGGAACAGCCAGGTGGTGGTGGTGGTGGTGGTGGCGGCGGCGGCGGCGGCGGCGGCGGCGGCTCACGCCTTTGATTCCAGCACTGGGGAGGCAGAGGAAATCAGATCGCTATGAGTTCGAGGCCAGCCTGGTCTACAGAGTGAGTTCCAGGACAGCCAGGGCTACACAGGGAAACCCTGTCTCGAAAAATGAAAACAAAACAAAACAGAACAAAAAAGACAGGAGGAACATCTGGAGATAGAGTTCAGTGGTAGGGTGTTTGCCTATTGAACACCAGTCCCCAGGTTCAGTCCCCTGTGCTGTGGGAAGTTCCACTACACTTAACACACTGTGTTTGCCAGACATGGCGATGCATGCTTGTAATCCCAGCCCTCAGGAGGCTACGGCAGGAGGATTGATGCAGCCATGAGGCCACCCTGGGCTACACAGTGAGTTTTATTCCAGTGTGGGTTACATAGCAAGACCAAGTCTGAAAGAGTAAAGGAGAAGGAGACTGCCCGGTGTGGTGGCTCATGCCTTTAATCTCAGCATAAATAAATAATGCATAAATAGGTATACCAATAAAACAAGTGAGGGCTGGTCGTGGTGCAATCTTAGCATTCAGGAGGCACAGGCAGCTAGATCTCTGTGGATTCAAGGCCAGCCTGGTCTACATAGTGATTTCTAGGCTAGCCAGGGTTACCAGTGAGACCCTGTCTCTAACTAACTAACTAACTAACTAACTAACCAACTAACTAACTAAGAGGGCTTGACTAACTGACTAACTAACTAACTAAACTAACTAACTAACAGGGCTTGACTAACTAACTGACTGACTGACTAACTAACTAAGAGGGCTTGATGTGGTGGTACACACTTTTAATCCCAGAACTTGGTAGACTTAGGCAGGCAACCTCTGATGGTTCCAGGCCAGCCTGGCCTACATAGAAAGACCCTGTCTGAAACCAAAAATGGCCAGGAATATGGCTCAGATGCAGTAGTGTGCTTGTCTAGCATGCACGAAGCTGTGCACAATCCCACCCCTGCATCAGCGGGGCATGGAGTTGACTCCTGTGTGCTGTGGAACAATCCTTCTATACACTGTGTGAATATATGTCGCTAGGATTGGTTTAATAAACAAGCTGACTGGCTGGTCGCTGAACAGGATAAAGTTGGGTGGGCAAGCCAAAGTGGGGATGATGGGACGAGGAAGGGCGGAGTCAGAGAGATGCCCAGGAAGCAAGACATGCTAGAGGACAGGTAAAGCCACGAGCCGCGTGGAAATACATAGATTAATAGAAATGGGTTAATTTAAATGTGAGAGTTATCAAGTAAAAAGCATGAGCTATGGGCGGAGCATCTGTAATTAATATAAGCCTCTGAGTGATTATTTGGGATTGGGTGGTCGGGACAGGAAAACTCCACCTATATCTGTAACCCTAGTACCAGGAAGAGGTAGAAACACAGTCAAGGTCATCTCCAGTTACACAATGGGGTCAAGGCCGGCCTGCGATATATGAGAACCTGTCTCAAACAGGGCCATGGAATGACTCACTGGGTAAAGGCATGTGCCACCACGCCTATGCACCAGAGTTTCCTCCCTGGAACCCACATGGTGAAAGAAGGAACTGCCTACACACACACACACACACACACACACACACACGACAAATGAATACATAAATGTTTAAACAGAGCAAGAATAAGAGAATACAAGGAGAAACAAAGGAAAACCATTACGGGCTGGAACGGGGTGATGTGATCATCAGGACTGGGGACAGAGCAAGAGGAGAGTCTGGTTTGACCTCAGGAGTCGGAGGAGGGCTCTTGGGAGATGACGCTGTGAATCTCGGGGCTTTCCCGAGTGTTTTAAACGGTTGTCTCTCGTATCTAAGGTGCGTGGATGGAATATGGATGGAATGCAGGGTGAAGGAAGCCGGGGAGGGAGAGGGCACCTCGCTGCTGGTCTTGGGGTCAAAAAACCCACCTTTGGCTCTGGCGCCTGATGCGTGGGCGGTGAGCCTCAGCCTCTGGCCTCTGTGGACTGGGCAAGGCTCTGGGACAGACTGAAAATACCAGGCCCGCCACAGCTGGTCCTCGTTACCCTGGGAAGTTCACTTTTATGTAATCACGGTGAAGAGCGAGCTAGGGAGCACTGGGCGAAAACCAGCGAGGTCCCTTCTCCCCACTGCTCCCCGCTTCTTCTTACCAAGGTCAACCTGTCATTACCCTGACTTGTTTTTCAGTGTGCTTTCTGCGGCTTGTCTGTTTACTGTACTGGGAGTACTAGTTTAAGTCTTCACAGTTGCTGGTACTGTAACTGTCCTCACTGTGTCCATAAGGACACAGGCGTACGGAGAGAGAGTGACTTCCTTGTCCAAGATGAGGAAGCAGAGATTTGAAAACTCTGTCTTTTCCCCATTTGATGACAAACACCTGAGAGGAAGGATCTGGAGATCTAGGCCAGTCGGTAGAGAATTCGCCTTGCCCACACCAAGCCCTGGGTTCAACCACCAGCACCGTACCCACCTGGCATGGGCAGTGGAAAGAGGCGCAGGATTTCTTTCTTTTTTTTTTTTTTTTTTAATTTTATTTTTATGTACACTGGTGTTTGACCTGCATGTATGTCTGTGTGAGGGAGGTGGAGCCACTGGAACTTGAGTTACAGGCAGCTGTGAGCTGCCACGTGGGTGCTGGGAATTGGGTCCTCTGGAAGAGCAGCCAGTGCTCTGAACTGCTGAGCCATCTCTCTCTAGCCCCACGGCACAGGATTTTAAGAGAAGCGATATAGTGAGCTTGAGGTCAGCCTGTGTTACAGGAAACTCTGTCTCAAAACACCTAAAAAATGCATCAAGGGAGACGGCTTAGCAGTTAAGAATACTTGCTGCTCGGGCTGGAGAGATTGCTCAGAGGTTAAGAGCACTGGCTGTTCTTCCAGAGGTCCCGAGTTCAAGTCCCAGCAACCACATGGTGGCTCACAACCATCTGTAATGAGATCTGGTGCCCTCTTCGGGCCTGAAGGGACACATGCAAGCAGAACACTGTATACATAAATAAATAAATAAATCTTAAAAAAAAAAAAAAAAATACTTGCTGCTCTTGCAGAGGACCTGGGTTTGGTTCCCAGCATCAAGATGGTGTCTTATAGTTACCCATAATTCCAGTTCTAGGGGATTTAGACTGCTCCTCTGGCATCCGCAGGCACCAGGTGAGCCCAAAGTTCACAGATATACATGCAGGCAAAACATTCATATACATAAAATAAAAACAAATAAATCTTAGCCGGGCAATGGTGACACTTTAATTCCAGCACTTGGGAGGCAGAGGCAGGCAGCTTTCTGAGTTTGAGGCTAGCCTGGTCTACAGAGCAAGCTCC